CTGTATTTTCCATCAAACGAACAACCTTAGTGAGCATAAGAATCTTCAAAAACATTAACTATAAATGCAATTATCCAAAACAGTTGATCCAACGAATAACTTCTAGTCATTATTTCATTGAACTTTCACTGTCAGATGCAGAAGATCAGTTTGTATCAGTCTGTGCTATTCTTAACTTGATGGGAATAAAAATAATATCCGTCCTATAAATCTGTGGAGAATAAAGTTTGTCAAAAAGCTTTAACAGGAAGTTGTGTGTTTGAACGTTGGAACGAATTACCATTGTTCTGCCCCCACAGTTTATAATGATTTTAAACTACTACAGCCAAAAATGGTTCCTTCTTCAGACAAGAAGATGTGCCAATCACTTTATTTGAGAGAAAATGTGCGTCACAAGCCAAACAACTGCCCACCCATCCGTGCTAAAATGACATTAGTGATAATAGAATCTTCTCATCCTTAAAATTGCTAATCCAGTGTCATGTACTTCACATTTGGGGGCGTAAACTTCCTAACCCTGAGTTGATTTCCTACATAATTTCCTTTTACAAATTTCCAAGTACAACTGTTCAGTAAAAATGCTCTATTTCTGGATGTTTTTAAAGGGATAGTTCACCCAAAAATGAAACTTACGCTTTATTTTCCTCATCCTTAAGTGCCTCAGAAAATGTATTGGTTTTCTTTATAATGCTTTATACAGAACATTTTTTCTCAGCCTCCTTTGTTTATGTTGACATATTTCAGTTTAAAGACAGGGAAAAGGAAAAAAAAAAAAAGAAATCATGACATTGTACAGACAATTCTACAGATTACTGAGCCACAGTAAGCAAAGCTCCCATGAAGCACTGAGCATGACGTAATCAGCCTTAAATATTTGCATATTAAAATACCTGCATATTATTTGTAATTAACAAATAAGTGCAATCAATACTCAGTGTTCTGTTGAAACTCAAAAAACATTACATCCCATTACTAACCTTACATCTTTCTACAATCATGTTCTGCAGACAAAACAGCCTAAGGTATGGTCATGTTGTTTTTTTAGATTTATGTTTTTTGTTTTTGCGTTCATTTGGATATTACCGTCTGTAGAGAGGAAGTAAAGTTGGAAAGACCGAGATAGGGGATGAGACCAACAGACTGAATTGTCATAAAAACTTCACAGGCTGTACCAGGTGAGCTACTGATCAAGTTTACCATGTTGGAAAATATATACCTGTGAAGAAAGATGTTTGATCCAAACAATAAAGAGGAATTAAATTGAGAAATCAAGTTTAGACAGGTCTTTTGAGGTAACTCAAAACTTTCACGTTGGTACAAAAAAGCTTTTATTAAATCTCACCTGTCAAAAGTAAGAGAAAACGTTTTTTACTATGTGCCACTGCTTTGTCGGTTACATAAACCAAGGATTTATTTGTTTTAAAGTCTGTGTGAACTGGAAGTTGCTGAGACTTTTATTTCAGCATGTTGATGTACTTCCATCTGAAAACAAATATTGAGTAGGGGGCAGGGCTTTCTCTTTGCGCATAATTCCCCTGTAGCATAACTAATGCTAAGAGGAGTGTGGTTAAGAATATGGCTAAACCCATCAAACTGATGTGAGCTAGCAAAATAAAATAATAAATATTTTATATGCAGTCGAAGTCAGAATTATGAGCCCCCCTGAATTATTGGCCCTGTTTATTTTTTCCCCAATTTCTGTTTAATGGAATTTTTTTCCACACATTTCTAAACATAATAGTTTAAATAACTCATTTCTAATAAATTACTTATTTTATCTTTGCCATGATGACAGTAAATAATATTTTACAAGACACATCTATAGAGCTTAGAGTGACATTTAAAGGTTTAACGAGGTTAATAAGGTTAACTAGGTAGGTTAGGGTAATTAGGCAAGTTATTGTATAACGATGGTTTGTTCTGTAGACTCAAACAATATAGCTTAAAGAGACTAATAATTTTGACCTTAAAATGGCTTTTTAAAAACTAAAAACTGCTTTTATTCTAGCCGAAATAAAACAAATAAGACTTTCTTCAGAAGAAAAAAATAATATTAGACATACTGTGAAAATTTCCTTGGTCTGTTAAACATCATTTGGAAAATATTTTAAAAATAAATAAATAATCAAAAAATCAAAGGGAGGCTAATAATTCGGTCTTCAACTGTATTTTATAAATAAAAAAATGTAGCATACATCACATTGGCATTCATCTATTATTTTAACATTAAAAAACTGTTACGTATTCAGTGCAGTGGGTGTAATCATAATTTATATGACAATTAATACAATTTGTGAGTGTTTTACTGTGGCTAGTATTCAGTTATTATATATTTTTGGAGTTTTGCAAAAATAGTATAGACTAATGCTGTGCTTACACCAGATGCGGAAAATGTGGATGAATCGTGATTTTCGTGTGTAAATAGACACGTGAACATCTGAGTATACTCGCTTCATTTACGAGTCAAAATCTGCTTCATTTGTGCGTCAAATTCACGTCACAACACTCGCGGGTTCACATGAAGGGAAAGGCTTCTGTCTGCCCGGTGACTCTAGCTTTATTGCTAAATGGCTAACGTAGATTTTATTGAAAAAATAACTGTGTTTATGTGCTTTATGAAGGCTGAAAAACAGCGTCGATACATTTGGAGCTGTGTCTTAGTCCACTAGATCCATTCAGAGATGTATCCAGCTCTGTGAGATCATAAACTCCTCCAGAAACTTAACCTGGATGATGAAAGCTTTCAGCGGTGCTTCTGACTGAGCCGAGCCCAGTTTGATGAAGTGTTGTCGGTGTGTGCAGGAGGATTTTCCCCAGGGACACCAACAATAGGCGCTAGGTCATAATTACGGCCCCCACTAGAGCAAGCTCCTGATTGGTTAAAGTGGCGCGATCGTCGCTGAAGTTCAGTTTTTCGAACTTGAACGATTCGGGCGAAATCGGTGTGAACGCAGCACTATATAATATTAAGCCTGGTTTATACTTCTGCGTCAAGTGACCGGCGTAACCCACGGCGCATGCAACGCGCGTAGCTGTGCATGTATACTTCTGCACGCTGTCCCTGTTGGTCTGCATTAACACTTCCGAAACACTAGTTGGCAGTCAAGTGTTAATGGTCCTTTGTGTCGAGTTTCTTCGCTGCTGTTTTGCTTTTCCTGAACACTTCCGTGATGTACAAGTGGCTCAAACTCGCTCATTTTAAGGCAGGAACCGGCAGAAGTGCAATAACTTTAACTATGAGGTAAACACAAAACAAAAATTTCCATCCGGAGCTCCTTTACGGGACTCCACACTTGTAAACAATCGCTCCATCAGGCTCGCACCATTAACGCGGCTCTTGGTCCCACCCTGACTTGTCAGCGCTACCAAGCCGACCAATCACAGAGCTTGTGCTACACGTCGTTGCGACGTGTAGTTACATTTTTTGAGAGGTGCACGTCAGCGGTGCCGACGGCCATGGCGGAGAACTATGCGTCAGCGCTGTAGCATACGCTGGCGTTTGACGCAGAAGTATAAATCAGCCTTTAGGGTGACACAGTGGCTCAGTGGTAAGCACTGTCGCCTCACAGCAAGAAGGTTTGAGTCCCGGCTGGGTCAGTTAGCATATTTTCCCCGCGATGGTTTCCACCGGATGCTCCAGTTTCCTCCACAGTCGAAAGACATGTGCTGTAGGTGAATTGAATTAACTAAATTGCCCATAGTGTATATGTGTGCATGTGAGAGTTTATGGAGGTTGGCTGGAAGGGTATCCGCGGCGTAAAACATATGATGAAATAGTTGGCGTTTATTGCGTTGTGGCGATCCCTGATAAATGCTCAACTAAGCCAAAGAAAAAATGAATGAATGAATGAATATAAGTTTTGTTTGGGAGTTTTAAAAAAAATACAGACTAATATATATATATATATATATATATATATATATATATATATATATATATATATACGTATATAGTTTTCTATGAAGCTTGTGAGGAGCAATATGAAGTGAGTGAATATATTAATATGACTACATTGTTTTTGTTTATAATTATAAATATACATTGACAAAATTTTAAATGAAATTTAAAAACCTATTATGTAAAAACCTCATTTTTATAAGAGATTTAAACAGTTGTGTGGCAACATTCTGGGATTGTAACCAGCTTTTAATAGTAAAAATGAAGTGTTTTTTTTTTTATATAATCACACTTAAAAAAACAGAAACACAGAAACACTTTGATTGACATTATTTTATAGGAAGGGGAACCCCCCCATCCCCCCCCCCCCCAGTTAGTCCCTCATCAGCATAGGACGTTAGTCTTGTTTTTGAATCTGCCACTATGCTGACAAATAGACATTTGTAGCTCCCTCCCTCTTGTGAAAATAGCCCAGGAAGCACAATATCATTTCAATATAAACCGGTATTCACAAAAAATCTTACAATTAGGATCAAAGCCTAAAAGTGGCAGTTTCAAAAGACTTATAAAAGATTATTTGTGTGATATTTTGAGCTGAAACTTCTCAAACACATACTAGGAACATTTTACATCTTGCAAAAAGGGACATAATAGGCCCCCTTTAAGAGGAAGCAATCCTAAATTCACAAATGCAGACTTGTCCAGACAAAGTAATCCTGTTGACACTCAGCAAGAGGAATTCAAAACATCGTGAACAAGTTCAAACAACTACACACATACATGCTGCACGCACATACACAGAACCTCCACTGGACACAAGCTTTCACTCCCACATGAGTCACTGATCTAATTCTAGGAGCTCGTATGTAAATATGCTCCATTTGGTGAAATGCGATTGGCCGAAAGATCAGATGGCATGAACAATACACAGGCCGGACTTTCACTAATCAGATGGGAGCTTAGAGACGGGCTCACAAATGCACAGGTGCAAAACACAATGCAAACAAAGAACGGTCAATGGGTTTGAGAATAGTTCAAGGACAATGGAAGTGTGCAAGACTCTGGAGAAATAAGGAGAAATCAACATTCAGGAGAGACTGACCATGTCTGTTTTGAAGTAGCTGAGTGCATTGTCATCCAGCATGAAGTATCTCCTCTTCCAGTTCTTCATCTGCAGAATGACAGAAGATAGTGCTGTTAGAGAAACTACGGAGCTGTTAAGCTAGCCACAATTTTAGAGTGTGTAGGCAGTGATTATGTGATTATGAAATGGTCAGTTTTGATGATGCAACAATGCAGCTTACAGGTACAGGTAAATATGCATTTCAAGAGTTCACACTTAGCTGATGATTGATAATAAAGCATTTTTGGCATGCTGTCCCGGGAGAGAGCCCTGAGCTCACAATATTCTCGAGCCTGGGGCTCCCTCCTGTTTGAAGGGCAAGAGGGGAGTTTGAGCTCAGGTAGGTCTCGAGAGTTTCTCTGCTTGTGAATGTGTTAGGAATAGAGCTAGGTTATATGGTAAAAAATTATCATTACCTTTTTTTTATATCAGTTAATGTTGATAATTATCACGATACATGTCAAATCTTTATACCTATTAATTTTATAGGATTTTCAGCATGCCAATCGCTTTGTGCAGCTGATTAAACACATTTTGTGAAATGTTTTAGCTCTCTGACAATATAAATAATAAAATAATAAACAAAAGAATCTTACTTCATCATTTACTGTTCAAGTTTTTAACAACCAAAGACATTACCTACAAGTTATTGGATATTATTGTTCAACCTCAAAATAAATAAATAAAATAAAACCGGTTTGGAACAAGCAAAATGTGAGTTAACGGTAACAGAATTTTCAGTTTTGGGTAAACCGTCCTTTTAATGGTGAGTATGGTGAACTTAGGGTGAAATATCCTACAATATATAGACTATTTTATTTAGAGATGTTAACGATTACTTGATGATCGATTGGCTGTCAATAACCCTTAAATCGATAGACCTTATCGATAACTAATTAAAGATGGACCTTTAAAGGTTTAGTTATGCTTTGCAGTGTGAGACACATCCACGCATTGCATAAAGTGAGTACAGTTACCTTACTTACGCAGTCATTCTCTTGTCATTTCATATTGCGGGACGCATAAGAAACCTGATATGCGCACGTCTTGGTTATATCCGAGGGTGTTTAAATTTTACCTCAAAGACTGGCACGAATAGGCCTATGCAGACTCTCATTTTATAAATCGTGCATCACGGCGAGACATGTGGGGAGCCTCTCCATTCACTCAACGAGGTTCTGAGCTCTCTGATGCTTCAGACCAAGTTTATTAATCCGAGATAATTTAAGAAATCTATCAGTGCTGCAAAAAGCTTGTAAAGACTAGCTGATGCTACTCAAACCGCTCTACGCTAATGAATTAAAATGAAACCGTGAAAATAGTTTAATTGATTGTTTTGGCGGCTGTTCATTCTGCTGTGGCAACCCCGGATTAATAAAGGGACTAAGTGACAAGAAAATGAATGAATGATTGTTTTGGCGCTAAAGCATATACTATAGTGGACTTGTTTTAAAGCGCTTCACCTCAGATGGATGAACTAACATGAACTAACAATGAACTACTGTATTTTCTTTAACTAACGTTAACTAACATGAACAAAAACAGTAGTAAATGTATTGTTCATTGTTGTTCATGTTAGTTAATGGATTAATTAACATTATCTAATGAATATTGTAAAGTGTGACCGATTTAAGTTACATACTATACATAACGAAATTCGTTGCAAAAAGATACATTTTCAAAGAAAAATATATAAAGTGTATATATTTTTATTTCGTGCCCGCCTTAAACAACTGCAGATGGATGATACTCCATAAATAAGGATTTAATTAAATATCCACTGATTATGTAAACGTCTGTCATATACTTGCTGCATTTTTATTATTTCATTATTTTAAAGATTATGTCTTCATAAAGGCTGGTTCTTTTACTGTCGATGAGGGACAATATGTATTAAAAATTCCAAAGAAAATATCTGAATATTAAAAAAGAAACATAAGCTTGACAACAAAAGTTCCTATCAATGTCGTAACAAATGCCCTTAAATAGTGCAGCTTGTAGTTTACAGCAAGCATCAAGTATTCATTGAGATGTGTTTGAGACTGTGTCTGTCATATTTTTCGCCTGTCTTTTCGGGGTTTTTATTCTCGTAAGCACGGCTTTCGAAAATGATGGGTAGTTGCGCTGGTTTACCTACACTTGTTAGGGTTTGTAATTCAGTTGCATGTTCATAAGGGTGGCAATGTTCTAAACGACAAAACAGGTTTGTGGTGTTGCCTGCTTTTGATGACATGAGTCGTCTGCACAGTTTGCAGTGCACGTTGCTCTGTTTTGTGTTGTATTGCAAAAAACGAAGTAGCTCCAGACTACCGATGATTAGTCATGTTTCTTGTCAACAATGTCTGTGACTTCGACCTTTTTACCTTATTTTTGACTTACTCCAAGTGCACCTAACACTGTATGGCTGTACACTTGTACTGTGAGCGGCATTTGGAAGGGCAGGCTGCAAAGTGCCTGCGCAGCCATTAGCATAGTGCGTAAATACTATCAAACACTTATCGAACGGTCATTATCGTTTTATCGAAAAAATGTATGGGGGGCGTCAAAACGCCAGGGAGAAGCGAGATCAGCCATTAGTTGTGAAACACTATCAAAATGTCTACGGTTGTTTATATTACACTTTTGTTTTCAATAGCGATTTCCTAAGTACTTCGAGGAAGTACTCGGCTATACATGGGTATTATTAATTAGAAATTGACTGTACACAGTTTTACATTAGGAAATGCAGTCTTGAACTTACAAACAGTCGCAAGTGCCGGAGAACAGATGTAACACATTCACCCAGTTTAGTTTTCAGTCACGCTCATGTAAAAGGAATATTCAACTTGTTAAGTTTTGCCTTCATTCATTTTTGGTTTCCGTCTTGACATAAAGCACAAGTTTTCAACACATGATTTATTACAACACGTTTTTAAACACAATAGTTAACCTAACTTATTTCTAATTACTACTTTTTAATCTTTCCCATGGTGACAGCCAGTGCATAATATTTTACTAGTTATTTAGAAGTTAGTTGTATACAGACAAAGTCCCGTTGAGTATTCTATAGTCTTTGATTCAGATTAAAGTGTAATTTAAAGACTTCAATAGGTTATGTTAACTAGAAAAGTTGGAATAATTAGTCGAGCTACTGTATAACTGGTTTGTTGTGTAGACTATCAAAAAACAAATAGTAAATATTTCTTAAAGGAGGCTTTTTTACTGCTTTTATTCAAGAAATAAACTGTAAGAAATAAGACTTATTATGACTCCAGAACAATTATTTGTGTTTTATAGGAAATACTATGAAAAACTCCTTGGTTTGATTCACTTGGGAAACATTATTTTAAATTATTGGGGCAAAAAAATGGACTTCAACTTCATCTGTTAAAGTTTACAGGTGTAAAAATATGCCTTGATGTACTTGTTTGTTTGAAGTGTGTTATCCTACAATACAAAGTTGACAAAGTGCTTACCACTGGGCTGCTGTGCCGCCCTATCAGGAGAAGGGGAGGAGTAAAAGTGGAAGGAGGGATTCTTCAAGATGAAGATAACTGAAGTGGAAAACTCTGATTATTTATAGTGACAGTATTCATCTGATTGGCGCAATATGCAGAGCTCATGCAGGACCAGCCGTGATCAATCAAAAGCATAGGATCCTCTCAAAATTAGTTCATAAATAAACCTTACTTATTTTTTTAAAACTCAACTGAATCTTAACTCAACATAATCTCAAATAAGAAAACAGGGTGGGGCATATTGTAGCTCCTCCCCCTTATAAAATCAGCTAATAGCATTTAGTTTATATCACAGCTCTTTTAGTAAGAGTGGTTGAGGTTACTTAAAGCGAAAAAAAGCATCAAGAAGCGGACGGGACATGTCAAGGTGCTTTCACACCCAGACATTTGTTTCGGAAGCTTTGTCTCATTTACCCAGTTAGCATGGTTTATTTGGCATATGTGAATCTCGCAATCGCCCTCAGATCCACGCCAAATCAATCGGTCCAAGATCGCCTGAGTGAGGTGGTCTCGGTTCGATTGAAACAAACTCTAGAGCAGCATTGAATCAATCGTAGTGAGAAAGCAAATTGATCCAGTGAACTAACGAACCAGATATTTGTTTCGGAACCTGTTTTGTTTCACCAGTTACCGTGGTTCGTTTTGCATATGTGAATCCTCGCACTCAGGTCCATGTCAAATCAATCAGTCTGAGATTGCCTAAATGGGGTGGTCTCGGACCGATTGAAATGAACTCTGGAGCGACATTGGATCAATCGCAGTAAGAAAGCTAAACAATCCAACGAACTATAGTACCAGACAACCAACTCTGGAGTGAATAGATTGTAGTCAGAAAGCAAATCGATCCAACAAACTAACGAATCAGACACTTGTTTTAGGAACCTGTCTTGTTTTACCAGTTACCATGGTTCATTTGGCATATGTGAATTGATCTAACAACAATTAAACAGAATGCACATATCATTATTGAAGATTGTTCACACCCCTTAAATATAAATTTTCAGCTTTTGCCTTCAAAACCCTTTAGGCAACCTCTGGCAAAGAAAAATGTGTATCAAATGTCATTCGTGCCAACTGCTATTAGAATTTTAAATACTGGGTTTTACTCATTCATTCATTCATTTTCCTTTCGGCTTAGTCCCTTTATAAATCTGGGGTCGCCACAGAGGAATGAGCTGCCAACTTATACAGCACATATTTTTACGCAACGGATGCCCTTCCAGCTGCAACTTATCACTGGGAATCATCCACAAACTCATTCGCACACACACATCGGACAATTTAGACTAACCAATTCACCCATACCACATGTCTTTGGACTAGGGGAAACTGGAGCACCCGGAGGAAACCTACGCGAACACAGGGAGAACATGCAAACTCCTCACAGAAATGCCAACTGACCCAGCTGAGGCTCGAATCAGCAACCTTCTTGTTGTGAGACGAACGTGCTACATGGGTTAACGTGGGTTAGTTGAGTTTTAAATGTGATTTATGCACTAATATTGAATGTATTTGTGTTGCTTGTGTTTTTGTGATGTCAAGGCTGATGTTGCTATGTGGTGAAGCCAAAGATAAAAATCCAGTTGTGGACAATAGAGAAAGTCGATCAAAGTCAAGTCGATCTTCTAAAGGTTAATTTTGGCACTGTTTTGGAACACACAAGCTTGTAGATATCCTTAATACTTGCATACTGACACAAACATCTAAAAATATTTTAATTTCACAGGACCTTTAAGATAAAGGGAGTCATATTTGAAATTTTACAAACTAAATGCAGTCATTTCAATGTAAATGTGGAAGTAGAGTTTCACATAAAAGGGACAGTTCCCCACACAGATTTCTACTGTATTCAGGTCGACCACACAAATCCCACACGGTGACCAACAGCAAGCTGCCGGATTTGGAACTCCTGTGTTAGCTGTGCTTCATACATTGGTAAGCTATTGGCAATACTGTGAATGTGCATTTAACCCTTAAAATGAATTCTACATCTTTGAAAATGTAAAGACGAATTACCAACCTACGTCACACATGATGTCACGCGGGTTCCCGGTTGCAAAAAAAGACCGGCTGCAATCGCAAACATGTAGTGTTGTGTTCGGTAGAAAGCCAAATTCGAAAGTTGAAAAATAGAAAACTTTACTTTTACCATACACGACACTGTTTTTTTATGGCAACTGCAGACATCTTTGGCTAAAAGGGAGCTGAATGAAGTGACGACCTAATTAGAAATGCTGGACTCTGCAGTCCTCATGTTATTTCAGGTAAGTTCACGCTATGCTGAATCATACACATTACTCGTTTTTGATTGCAGCAATGATTTTAGCAAAAAAAGTTACATATGGTTAATTAACCTGCGGACACTGAATGCTAAGAATGAAACGTGAAAGTTTAGGTTATTGTGGTAAAGTTTGTTTTATATTCACACATTCATTCAGTGACAACTTGAAACACACTCCCTACAGTATATTGTTTACCACGGCACTATGAATATTCAGTCTGAAATAACCTGCAAGTGTGTCTTGAAAACAACATTAACACTGTTTATTTGACTTTGAACAATGTTGTACTTTGATAGTCATTGGCTGCTAATATAATTTAACTATTTAGAGTTCGCAATTAATACTTTTATGAAATTATATTATTAAGAAGAAAGTCTGAATAAGCGAAAATAAAACCAACCTCTTGTAAAATCACTTGGATCTTCAATGAGATTGTATATTTCGGGCTGGATGCTTGGCCATTTCGTCTTATCCAAAATTCATTGGGAGGTTGCTATCGCAAATGGACCTGTTAGATGAACGCTGCTCATTTTGCCGAATCACTGTGCTTATCACTGGCTGTTATAATACACTGAAAGCATTATGTAAATAATATATATATATAAAATCAATATAATTTATTTCTAAGACAACAACAAACTCTACCGCATCAGATGTCATTCCCTCGCTCTAAATGCTAGCTCATGCTTTTTTTCTGCCACCTCCTTGCACGTGCATCCTGAATGTTTACAAACATGGTAATTCATCTATAGATATAGCACATGATTCACTAATTCATCAAAAATAATAGCAATATTTAATATGGATAGACATTAGGCAAAACAGAAAAAGAGGTAAAAGAAAAGTTGGATGTACAGTAATGGCATTACGAAAAGCTGTCACTGTCAATACAGTATTTGCAATATAATATTATACTAAAGGTATAATAATAATTGTATTATTATAAAATATATTGTACTAAAGGTGTTTTTTACATGCATGTTTTATTTCTTTCAGCTATTTGTGCTTATTGAAGTATCATCTGTTGATATGATGTACTTTTAGAGAAAAACGATGTCCATATATGTGGATTGTGGTCCAAATTTACAAAAAAGCACTTTTTCTTAACTGTTTGACAGTTTTTTATGCATATATAACATCAAAAAAAATTTTTTGAGACGGGTGAAAATAGGGTTTAGGTTTGATAATTAGAATATTATAAAGCTATGAGAATACTTTTTTCTACAGTTTCTTCTGCTCAGTGTCAGGCCTCTGATGTGTACCTCATGTGAAACTTTGCTTAGTTTCAAGAGAAAGTCATGCACAGTGCTCGTAAACATGCACATTATACTGACACTATTTAAAAGTTTATTTTTCTCAAAGTCGTTATTGTTGTACCTTGATAATATTCTGATTGAACCACTGAAGGCATTTGGTCTGTTTTGATAATGTGATTTGGACTTTGAATGAGTCTGGAATCTTGCTGTCTATGGAGGACGAGGGAGCTCTCAAATATTTTCACTTGTATTCTGAAAATGAACAAAAATCTGAGACTTTACATAAATTAATACATAGCAATGTCCACATGTTTTTTCGTTCATGTGTTTTACAAGCTTTCAAGGAATAAGATGCTGATGATCGTTTAATGCATCATAACAGTCTTGTGAAAAGGGTCTATTATTAAGAAACTAAAACTGCGGTGTTTGTTTTAGTCGGGATTGCCTATTTCATAAAAATTAAAAACCTGATGAATCAGATATGATACAGCAAACCAGGATTTTTAAATTTATTTTATCTTTAATTTATCTACATTTTTAATATATACTTTATGTTTTTTTTTATGTTACTTACCACAGCTCCCTGTTTGACACAATATCCAGTTTTAATGACCGACTGGTCTTGGTTACTGCGGCTCAGGTAATATGGCAGTTGACCAGGAGGTTTCCTTAGTCCACTCTTGTCTGCACCATTCTGACCTTCACCCTTTTCCTGAAAACCAACGACACAGTACAAATGTAGAATATGCATACTTTGTTAACACTTTACAATACAGGGACTCAGTTAGGCAGGTTAGGGTAATTAGGTAAGTTATTTTATAACAATGGTTTGTTCTGTAGATTATCGGGAAAAAATATAGTTAATAGTATAATTTAATAATTTAAATAAAATTATTCTGCTCCTCAGATGATATTTATTAAATGTAAAAAAAATATATATATATTTTTAAACACTAATTAATTCAATATTTATTTATTACTTATTGTATGAAGTTTTAAACTAATTTACTACTCCAGTCATTATTGCTTTTATAACTATTACCATTAATAATAATAATAATAATGATAATAATAACAAAAATAATTAATATTAGAGTGATTTCTGAAGGATCATGTCACTCTGAATACTGAAGTAATGAAGCTGAAAATTCATCTTTAAAATGACTCGAATAAATGATTAAGGTAAATGATAAACTACTTTTGAACAGTTATTTTATAGTGCAATAACATTTCACAATTTTAGATTAAATAAATAAATTTGTTATTTTTAACTCACTATGTTACCAAGCACAGAATTTTTTTAAAATAATGCATTAGTAAACGTTGAACTATAATAAATAAATAGTGTACAATTGTTCATGGTTTGTTTGTGTTAGTAAATACATTAACATTATCTACGTGTAAAGTGTTTCTTATGTTTTTTTTTTTACATCAGTAATGATACTACACAAACACATGGTAAATAAATGTAGTAATTAAGATACTGTAGATATTAAGATAAAGTATCAATAGCTATATGTTAAAGAAATAGGGAAACACTTTAGAATAATGGTCCATTAGTTAATGCGCTTACTAAAATTAAGTGTGAATAATCTTATTAGGCATTAATTAATCATAGTTTAACATTAACTAATGCATTATTAAAATCCAAAGTTGTTAGTTAATGCACAGTGAGTTAACATCAACCAACCTTATTTAAATTAAATAACATTCACTAAGGTTAACAAAGACTAACTAATACCATAATAAATGCATTACTAATAGTTTGTTCATGTTAGTAAATATATTAACTAATAGACTATTATTTTAAAGTGCTAGCAGAAATAGTTCGCTCAAAAATAAAGATTTTGAAAAACTAAATGAGTGCGAGTAGAAAATAACGATATAATTTTCATTTATAGGTGACTTTAATTGTCTTTAATTTAACTGTCTTGGGGTCTGAGACTGCTGTGTGACCTGTGTGGTTGTGATAATGGGCACTCCTGCGACGATCTCCGTCTTGTAGGACACTTGTTTGGTGGCACTGGAGGACGTGTCCACACAGGCTTCTGCTGTATTTGGAGCCACCTGCTCGCCTGACTTTGGCACCTGGAAGAAAAAGACGAACAGGTATAAATAAACAAGGCGCTGCGACAGCTGCTTCCTTTAAATACCCATTTAAGAGCAAGCATTTACAAAGCTTACCCCAGGACTCTCAATTTCAGAAACCATTCCAGTTTGAGCACATATTTTTAACAAAAACATGCAGCATTTGTGAGCGTAAGTGTTCAGGTACACCCCTCACAGATCTTTCTTTAAGATTAATATTTTCTACAGGATGCTTTACATTATTATTTTTGTGCATATGCATTACATTAGTTAGTACCAAAGCCAAAACTGAAACTAATATTTTACTGGTATATAAACATATATTCATAATCTAGCCACAACCTGCTGCATTTTTACACTCATGTACACTCCCCAATCTTAATTCTGATACCCCTTAGCCCTTCCCTTACCCTGTTTTGCGCAACAACATGAAGGGATTAGGGTGTCTCATTTCTCTTTAGCTTGAAGGTGTAGGGCTAAGGGGACTGGCTAGATAACCTTTTGAAACAAAGATTTTTCAGGACCATACTCCAAACCAAGGGGTACAAAAACTTCCCAGAAAACACCAGCTTTGACAGTTTTTTTTCAGCAGCAGGAACTGGAAGACTAGTCAGGATAGAGGGAAAGATGAATGAAGCAATGTACACATCCTGAATGAAAACCTGCTTCAGAGTGCTCTTGACCTCAGACTGGGGTTCATCTTTCAGCAGGACAATGACCCAAAGCACACCGCCAAAATATCAATGGAGCGGCTTCACAACAACCCGGTGAATGTCCTTTAGGGGTTCAGCCAGAGCCCAGACCTAAATCCTATTGAACATCTCTGGAGAGAACTAAAATCTGTACACTGTGGCTTCCCATCCAACCTGATAGAGCCTGAGAGGTACTGCAAAGAGGAATGGGCAAAAATTCACAAAGACAGGTGTGCCAAGCTTGTGGCAATCCATTTAAAGGGTAACACTTTACAATAAGGTTCATTAGTTAATGCATTTACTAACATGAACTAATCATGAACAACACATGTACAGCATTTATTAATCATAATTGAACATTTACTAATGCATTATTAACATTCAAGTCTATGCTTGTTAACATTAGTTAATGCACCATGAGTTAACATGAACTAACAATGAACTACTGTATTTTCATTAACTAACGTTTATTAACATGTAAAAATACTGTAGTAAATGTCTTGTTCATTGTTTGTTCATGTTAGTAAATGCATTACTTAACATTAACTAATGAACCTTATTGTAAAGTGTTACCATTTAAAATGACTTGAGGCTGTAATTGCTGCCAAAGGTGCATCAACAAAATACTAAGCAAAGGATGTGAATACTGATGTACATGTGATTTTTCAGGCCTCTTTTTTCAGGCCTCTTAATCTTTTTCACATTGTCATTATGGAGTATTGTGTGTAGAATGTTGAGAGAATAAATGAATTTAATCTAATCGGGAATGAGGCTGTAACATAAAAAATGGGGAAAAAGTGAAGCGCTATGAATACTCTGGATGCAAAGTGTATTCACTGACAAATTAGTAAAAATATTCATTTTTAAAGGGGTGCACTCAATTATTCTGAGCACTGTTTTTCCTAAACTTCTGATCAGTTCATTTTTAATCACCCAGAAAATACACACAGTAACACGTACTGATGTTATTACTAGTCTGATGTCGCAAAGATAAAAAACAGATTCTGTGGTTCATTATTGTTTTTACTTGCTTTGCTTCTTTTTTGTGGGTGGGTGGAGATTGGAATGGGAGTTACAAAGTGTTAAACAAGAGCGAGCAACCCTTAAACTCAAAAAAATATATATATATATCATTTTTTGTTCCTGTTTAAACTGTTTTTATCCTCACTGAAAGAGGAAATAATAAATAGTTTTTATGGTTCAGCAAATACAGCTCTAGGGAGGAAAATTATCATATGCATTTCTACTAAGAAGGTCCATACAGATTCCAAAGGCAGATAATGATAAGATCAGGGCCTGGTTAATATGTGAACTTTAGGGGTTTTACAATGTTAACACATAGTTCCAATACTCAAGACCGCAAGAACGGAGGACGCGTGAAACTTCACGGATGTGTTCTTGATATTGAGGACGCACCGGTGTATACTTGAGCACCAAACTTGCTCTAGAGGTCCCAGAAGTCATTGCGACTGGAGGTGGGAAGCGCAGCATTTTATTTAGATTTATTATTAAAGTTCAGAGATATAACTTATTTACCTCAGGAGTTTCCTTAAATGAAACAGTGAAGGTAAACACTACCATGGACATCTTAATAAAGGAATAAACACATTAAGGGTGTCTGTTTGCTGAAATTCGTATTAAAATCTGTTTTATTTATATTGTGCAATGTATACTTATAATGTTTTTATGCACAATAAATATTTTAAAAAGGGGAAAAACAGTAAATCGTTGTATGGATGCTGTAATGTTTAAATAATTTTCCATTAAAAACACGTGAAGGCCATGTAACCATCAGGAAGAACGCAGCATCTCATTTCTCACAGGACGCGTCCTCTGTCCTCGCGGTCTCCTGAGTTCGTTCTTCCGAGGACACCTGGCAAGACCGGTCTCCACAAGAACGCAAGTCCGTTCTCTGCGTTCATGGAATTGAGAGACAGCCATGGTGAAGAAAGAGACAAAATAGTTGGTAAGCTTTGCTCTGGTCTCTTTTTCTGCCCTGTGCTTTGTCTGCTCTGCTCCTCTCCAGCTCTGGACTCTATCTTGTCTGACTCTACTGCTATCAGGCTCTCTTTAAGGGCTACTCTCTTCGTCTCTCTCTCCCTCCCCGTCTCTTCCTCTCCCTCAGGTAACTGTATTTTACATTTAAGCTGGGTACAATTAGTATCATGTTTTTTTTATTATTTCATGTTTTATCATTTTATACAGTTATTTTGAAACTAATTAAACTGTAACCACATAGTTATTGTAATTAAATAATTTTATTTTCAAGTATTTGTGATTTACTTTTGATTTAACATCAATATTTAATTGCTCTATATTGAAATACAATACAATCTCATAATAGAAATGCTCTCCCACATTTAAAGCTATTAATACTGCCCTTATTTCTATTTTCTGTATAAGACTGCAGAAGGATGGTTCCACTAGAAATGTAGTTTTTCATCATCGTTGTTACATGGGGAGTGACACTGACACCTGGGTTCGGATCCAGATGCAGGTTTAATACGGAAGTCAGGCAAGCAATGGTCAACACGGGTGCAAAAAAATGTAAAAAGGTAGTCCAGAATCGTAGTACAACAACAGGCGAGAGGTCAGAAGGCAGGCAGCAGGCAGGGATAAAAGGATAAACTAGGCGACGGTCAAATCACGGTAAAACAAGACAAGGAAAACGCGTTGTAATGTCACAGACTCGACAAAGGGAGTGTGTGTGCTGCTTAAATAGTGTGAGTAATTAGTCCTTGACAATCCTCCGGGGTGTGTGTGTAATCAGTGAGAATGAGGAAACGTGTGTGTGAGCTGAGTGCATGTATGAATGTAGTCCAACAATTGTGGATTTGTAGTCCATAATTGATTGTGCATGCAATCCAGCGTTCTAGGGAGTCACGATCGCTGGTGATCATGACAATCATACAGATAACTTTTAGCCATTTGGCAGAACTATATTTCGAACTGCTGTGGTTAAATCCCATTCTTACAGCGATTAATGGCGTGCTAAAAAAGAATGCGGCTCTGGCAGCTCCTAAAGACATGGCAGTTCAGTGTTCAGCCCTTCAGGTGTAAAAACACTAATCAATAAACTATCACAACACCTGTTGTCTCTAACCCAAAACAACAGGTCAGTCTTAACTGTTACACAAAGAGGCTGTTCAGTGTTCATACCTGGCCATGGATTTTTTTCTATGTCAGCATTATCAACAAAGAGGTATCAAGCATATGTTGCCGATCTCTGTAAAAATAAAGAACAAAATAATAGAACGATATAGTGTTGCGTTCGTTTACAAAGCCACAGTGTTTTGTTTGGGAGAGTATTGAATTCAATTCAATTCCTGTTTATTTCTATAGCGCTTTCACAATGTAGATTGTGTCAAAACAGCTTAACATGGAAGTTCTGGTAAATTGAAACTCTATCAGTCTAGTTTTCAGAGTTGAAGTTCAGTTTAGTTTAGCTCAGTTCAGTGTGGTTTACTTTTCACTGCTGAAAGTCCAAACACTGAAGAGCAAATCCATCGATGCGCAGCTCCACAAGTCCCAAACCATCTAAGCGAGTGATGACAGTGGCGAGGAACAAACTTTACCGATTGACGAAAGTAAAATAAAAAACCTTAAGAGAAGCCAGGCTCAGTTGGGCACGACCATTTACCCTCTGGCCAAACTTCTTGAGAGTAGGTTTTACAGAAATTAATGTTTTGTGCCTATCTGTATGACAAAATTGGATTTTTTATTTAGCCTCTAACGAAAGTAATTGTTAAGCCTGCTTTGAGTGCTGATGCATACTGTACAGCTTTTCAAATCTGCAATTTGATTAGGTCAGAAAAAAAAAGATCCAGGATCAGGGACTTACTGTGATTTTGGTGGCTTTGTTCAGCTCACTGACCCACTCCACTAAATCTTGCTTATCATTGGCCTGCAAGTAAAACTTCCTCATTCCAGCGTTGATCACTGTAGGGCAGCACACAAATATAGACATGAATGTGGTATCATAGATTTGGTGGTATTAAGTGTTAGTCAGTCTTTTTCTGTCTAAAGCTGTTCACATTAAAATCCAGTACTTTTGTTTCTGAAACAGGAAAAAAACAATCACTCATGTTCTTGTTTGCTGTTAACAATGTTCACAACTTGGTTCATCTACTTTTAGTGTATTTTATTGAAGGAACTTACCAAACATTAAATTAAACGCTGCGTGCTTGAATTTAAATATATATTTATATATATACATATAAAAAATATATTTTTTTACATATTTAAAAAAATATATAAAATTGTTTTAAAAAAATTTAAAACTGCTTTTTTCTAGCTGAAATAAAAGAAATAAGACTTGAGACTTTCTTCAGAGGAAAACATATTATCAGACATACTGTGAAAATTTCATTGCTCTGTTAAACATCATTTGGGAAATATTTTAAAAAGAAAAATTTAAAGGGGGGCTAATAATTCTGACTTTCACTGTATAAAATCGTCTGTTTAATTATTGTCCCTTACTCATTATGTTTTATATACAGATCTTTTACTGTCTTCAACTCGTGATTCGTAGCATTACACCAAAAATTTTCAAGAAAAAAAACAAGTTTTCTAATTTTCTTGTCTTTATAGTTTTTATTTTCTAGGCCCTACCCACACTCATCACCAATTTGACCAATCACAGATCTTGAGCTCGGCATCATCGCTAGGTGTTGCTACATTTTTTAGAGGTGAGCATCAGGGTGCACATCAGCGAAAAGTATGTGACTTTAGAAGACTATGCCAGACCTACCACCCATGTGCACTCAATATCAAAGTATTAAAAGTCCTTGTATACTTCAAAGCAGTTCAATTTTGATCTTCGTTTTAAGGCAAAGATAAGTTTAAAAAGGCTAAGTGATAGTGTACTGTTTTCAAACCTTCGGACACTCTTCCGTTGCAGTAGGCGGGGTTGTAATAGATGTGTCATGCTGCTTGAGGCATGCTGCCTTTATGTTTTTCATTGGCCTAAAGCAACTACTGTTGTAGTCAGAATTATAAGCCCCCCCCCCCTGAATTATTGGACCCCCTGTTTATTTTTTTCCTTAATTTCTGTTTAACGAAGAGAAGATTTTTTTTCTACACATTTATAAACATAAAAGTTTTAATAACTCCTTTCTAATAACCGATTTATTTTATCTTTGCCATGATGACAGTATATCATATTTTACTAGATATTTTTCTAGACACTTTTATACAGCTTAAAGTGACATTTAAAGGCTTAACTAGGTTAATTCGTTTATCTAGGCAGGTTAGGGTAACTAGGCAAGTCATTGTGAAACTATAATAACTTCAGAATTATAATAACTTAAGATAACTTAAGAAACTATAATAACTTAAGAATTAATAACAAAAGAATTGCTTAAAGGGGCTTATAATTTTGTCCTTAAAATGATGTTTAAAAAATTTAAAACTGCTTTTATTCTAACCAAAATAAAACAAATAAGACTTTCTCCAGAAGAAAAAACATTATCAGACATACTGTAAAAATGTCCTTGCTCTGTTAAACATAATTTGGAAAATATTTAAAAAAGAAAAAGAAATTAAAAGGGGGGCTAATAATTCTGAATTCAACTGTATGTGAAGGCTATGCAGAACCTACTGTGTGCACTAGACAGCGGAGGCTCATAGAGCACTTGCATTTCATCAACAAATAATTCTTAATTTGTGTTGGCAAATGAAAAACATTCTTACAGCTTTGGAATGACATGAATTAATGACAATTTGTTTTAACAATTTGCTGTACTATCCCTTTAATGGTTCATCTTTGTTCCACGTTTGGCCTCTGCTGCTTTTGTTTTGAATACACAGCTTTTACTGTGTCGTTAACCATGGTATTTGCAGCATCACATTAAAACAGATCATGTTTTTGGCTCATTTGGATTCCTTTGGTGCATCATTTGGAAGCGAAGTAAGGAGGGTTACCTTTTTTAAGGCTTAGATTTTAAAGGGCAGTTATCACGTTTTACTAACTTTTTGGTGCACACCAGAATTTATTTTACCACTATAGCCTATTTGCAATAGTAACATAATTTCCATTATATTTAATGGTGTCTTTAGGCTAAAAGCTGCTTGAAAAGAAATGTATAAAAACTACAAAGACATAAAAATTAGGAAAACTTAATTCTAAATAAATATTAAATTGCAAATGATGCTTAAAAATCAGAACTGAAAAGGCACTGATCTTCATGAAACCAGTCTAAATTGTGGAAGTGAGCCATTATAAATGACATTTGATTCGTAAAGCTGGGCTCTGCTCTGACAGGACTGATATAAACCAGATAAGTCTTCTGATTTCAGCCCCTTTAATAAATGCAGGATCTCAAGATACAGATTTTCAAAGGTTAACTCCTTTTAGCTTTAGCATTGCGTTATAGAACACAAAAAATACATGATGCAAGCACAGCATCAAAGACAAACATAAAAAATGATTACAGATAAACCCAATAAAAAAGCAGAAGTAGTAAAACGCCAAAGATAAAAGAAACACTTCCTCCATTAAACACCTCAACAGAACCTCATTTTGTGACCAGGTTGTGTTTCTGTATTATGTTGATCACACATAAATGCTGTTTCACACACACTCTTGACAGTGGCTTCTCCACCCGGTACAGTCCCAGAACCCCTAGTGTGTGATTCTCTCTGGTTCTGATCTTCGAAAACAATAGCTCAGGGTTAAGGTTCATGGTCTAACACGCTCTCTAATCGCCTCTATTTTCCACATAGTGCTTCCTCTGTCTGACATGGAGAAAGAATCGCTTGCTTACCGAAGCAGAACTCTGCCTTTGGTCGCAATTTGGTGGCATCGCTAACCTTTAAGGACAAAATAAGAACAGATAAATAACACAACACAACACTACACACACACTACACACAGACACACACATTTAAAGGTGCACAGAAGTACTGAAATACTCACACAAAATATTTTTTTATTTGCAAGGATTTTGTTAATAAACCTACATATTTTGAGGAGAGTTTGTTGCTTTTGCCCCGTTTTTTCTTTAAACAACTTGGGAAAATATAAATACATTTATAAATACCTTTTTTTCTCCCCACTCATGTGTCAATTTATTACATTGAATAAGCAAATAAACAAATCAGAAAACCAAAGAATTATATTTGATTAACAGTCATATAAAATGTTAATTAAAAATCCTACTTTGCACTGCAGAAGTGGCAGCATATACAGTACATTTACATTTAGTCATTTAGCAGACGCTTTTATCCAAAGCGACTTACAAATGAGGACAAGGAAGCAATTTACACAACTATAAGAGCAACAATGAATAAGTGCTATAGGCAAGTTTCAGGTCTGTAAAGTCTAAGAAGGAAAGTATTAGTATTTTTTTTTTTGGGTACAGTTAGTGTGATATCCAGAGAGGCAATTGCAGATTAGGAAGTGAAGTGGACACTAAATAGTTGAGTTTTTAGTCGTTTCTTGAAGACAGCGAGTGACTCTGCCGTTCTGATGCAGTTAGGGAGTTCATTCCACCAACTGGGCAGATTGAGCATGAGCGTTCGCGAAAGTGATTTCTTCCCTCTTTGGGATGGAACCAAAAGAAGTACATTTAACTAGGGGTTTAGATAATTTTTTGCAGCTCAGATGTAGCCTAAATGCATTTACACTGTATTTACAGTACACATGCTGTGTATAATTTTAATAAATGCCTTAAGATTACAATATGACAAAAAATAAATTAATTAAAACTGCCAGTAAATGGTTACTTGTCACTTTTTTTAGCCCAGAATAACATTAAACTGTACAAATTCCCATTTCAGATTTTTTATTCTCCAATGAGGCACAGATTGTATATTACCCCTAAAGGTGCAGTAGGTGATTGTCTTCAGAAACATTGCTTGTTGTGCTGGTTGAAAGTCTCTTCACATTCCAATAGTAATTATTAAAGTAAATTATCTAAATGTTTTTATATGTATTTTTATATTCTGGTAAAGGCATAAGACTAAAAACATGCTAGTCCAATTAAAATATGTCCGGCCGATAATTCGCATAATTATCATAAGTGTTCACATGGACACAAGAGAGAGTGACAGCTGTAAAAACAAATGCTGAATCAAAACTTTTTAAAATCCTGAGGCAATATTGGAGAAACGCTGGAGGAAGGACGACACGGGTAGTATTTCTTATAGACAGGTAATGTTATGTTTTAAAATGTAGATTGTCTTGTTTTACAAATGGGTTCTATGCTCGAAAGTGTTGTTTAGCGACTGAAATCTTCCAGCAACATGTAGATGTGATTATTTTCAGTTTCATAAGGAACGTTTTACAGCATCGATAATGTAGATTTTTATTTAGTTTAACAACAAAACATCAGTAAATAGCACTATTCTATAGCCTGCTTTTCTGAGGTAACGATGGTTTTATATTTACATTGGTTCATTTTTGAACAACCTGTGATGCGCTCCCTATATTGTTTACCATGCTACTTTAAGTATTTGCTCTGAAATAGTATGCAAGTATGACTTACTGTACATTCACACCGAAAGTGGCGAGAGCGTCAAAGTAGCCGGAAGTCATTAATTTTCTATGAGATGCGGCGGGGATAAGAAACGAGGAGCAGGGTGGCGCATCTTCACCAGTGTGGGCGTCAAGGAGAGTTAAAATCAAGTCAACTTTATGGTATTAAGTTATGACGCGGTTCGGCGGCAAGCAATCAGAATGAAGAAAACCACCGCTTGAGAGGAGTTCAGAGAACACCGACCTGTGAACTTTGGTTCCGACCACAGTTGTTCCCAAGGCTTTGATTATTGCCGTTGCCGGGTTTTCAATTATTTATTATGTTTTCTTACAGGAACATGCATTAAATAAGTTACTGGCGAGTTAATGATCTGTGTTAATGTTATATATATTTATCTTTAAAAAAGCGGGAATCTCATGCGACAATACAAAACAGTTGCTGCTTCAGGATATTTCAGACATATGGACACATTGGATAATTAAGTAGAGCAAAGCCACAGCACATGCAACTTGATCTTCCATTGTTAAATGAATTTGATAAGAAGAACTCAATATTTTCACGCTAGAAAGCATGTTTTGTGCAGGAATGTAACTGATATGCTGCAACGGCCCCTTTAAATACGAGATTTATATAGCAAATTTTGAAGCTCTCGCCGCCTGAGCTGAAGGCAGACAGCGTTGTCGCTAGGGTGGCCAGAGCGACCTTGAATGCTCTCACTGTTTTCGGTGTGAACGCACAGTTAGTAATAAGTTTAATTTCTGTTCGCGTTCGTGATTTTAGGAGACGTGGCTTTGGAGAACAGGGGATGGACTGTGTTTCAAAGATATTATGCTAACGGATGGCATTTTGGCAGATCACCTACTGCACCTTTAACATGCAAGCAGAAAAACGTTCAGGTCAAATTAAGATTAATTTATTTTTTAATATTTCCCTGTCAATGAGTAAATGATGATATCATTTTCTTTTTTGGGTAAATTATCTTAAATCAGGGGTGTCAATGTTCCTGCAGGGCCGCAGCCCTGCACAGTTAAGTTCCAACCAACCATGCTCCAACATACTTGAGCTGTGGTCACATAGTTATCCATTCATATGAATGTGAATGCAGCAGCTTGTGCAACAAGTTTTGCAGTTCACTGCGTTGCAAAGTTCAAGTTCGGTGAACTCTGACCTGTGAAAACACATCACGTGATTGCACAAGACCAATCGAAGACCAAAACATGACATGTCTGGACATAAATTTGAATATGGACCAATCACTTGCGATATTTAATGTCTAATTATCTTGTTTAGTCCCGGCCTTTTTGGCAGCACCGTACGACAAAATTTCCCAAGCTTAAACTCTAGTGTGACCGCGGGATTACCTGTAGGTTTAATTGAGTCTGAAGGACTCTATTAGTTTGAACAGGTGTGTTTATTTAGGATTGGAACTAAACTGTGCAGAGTTGCGGCCCTCCAGGAACTGAGTTTTACACCTGTGCTTTAAGCCATGTATTGCCTTTATTTGAAAAGCAACATTGACAATATTTGATTTGAAATTTAAGAAATATTAGCAATTTTCTTGTTTATCAAACTTTTAATCAAGTGATATTTAAAGACACACTTGTGTGGTATTGTTTAACTTTGTCATTTAACCACCAGGGGTCAAAGACCATAATGCTTAAATGAACTTAAATTAAACTTTCAGTTTTAATCGTACAGATAAGATCATTGCATCAATCGAATCTGTTAGGTGTCTATTTTTTATTGTGTGCACTCACAATGACAACAAATATGTGTGCTTTTGCAAAATAAGGATAATAAACAGTGTAGGCAATCTGTCTTTTCTCTGTCCGCGAATTGTTTTTTTGAAGACGTCAGTAAAATGTGCTGAAACTTTGCGAAAACAGAACACACAGACATGAGACACATATCTATAGAAAGCTTGAAGAATCTACTTTTAAATGCAGTGAGTGCATGTTGAAAACAAATATTGTTTGATAAAGTAATCAGTATGAAACCAATGCCATGTCTAACTTCTCAGTCTGAGCTCATTAGAGTTAATGCTGCCTCGCCCATGAGGCTTTGTTATGACAATCGTCTGCAAGAAACGCGCACAACATGTAGACTGTGTCAGAAAAAACACGTCATTAAAATGAACTGAAATTCAGCAAAAACTCAACAAAGAAGAATGAGAGATGCATCGATAGAAAGATTGAAGTCTACTTGATGTCAACTTTTGCAGTAACGCATTCAAGTCGAAAACAAATAATCTCTTTTTATGTAATCTGTAAAAAATTAAGGACTTTCCTGCATCGCCTCATTTCAGCTAACGTGATCACGCCCTCAGTGAGGGCACAGTTCATTTGGAAATGAACCGAGGTAACCATGTATTAATATACACAATCCCAGAGACATAACATCAAACGATAAGCTTTATTATAGATACGCATGCTATTTTGTATAGTATTATTTGTGTGGTATTTTAAGCTGAAACTTCACATACCTGTACATATTCTAGGGATATCAGAGATTTATATTAGACCTTGTAAAAATTGACATAATAGGTCCCCTTTAAAACAGATTATAAAGATCAGTGAAAGCATTAATTTTCAAGGTAGGCTTTTGTTTGGTTTATTTTTGAAAAACAAGAGAAAAACATGTTTATAGACAATACATAATTGCAAAGCCCTATATGCTTTATGTATATATACTGAATCCATTTCAACCATAAAAAGATTTTGCTCCTGAAGGACACGACTGAGTGCGCATTCACATTAGATGAAGACTCTAGTTATAGAGCAGTCTAGAAAAGGCTGTTTAATAATACATAGAGATAGATGGACCTCTCATGGCTGTCAAATTTAAGGTAACAACACAAGACTAGCGATTACATTTTCCCCTTTCTCTTTTTCTCTGGAGAAAACAGTGCATCTGGAACATGTAAAAAAGCATACATTTTCTAAACAAGAAGCTCGATTTGAAGTATCATTCATGTCTGTGAACATCAAGTTGGCAACAGTTGAAATAACAAAGCAATGACAAACCTTGGATATGTATGTTAGTTTGATTGAGCCGACATTGGACGTTCCTTCTGGAAGATTCTGTGGAAGGAAAGGAAAGTCATTAGGGCTGAAGTTCGGAATATAAAATGACAGCCGCTGACTTGATTTGAGCAGTGTGTTTGTGTGCGTGCTTGGAGAAGTATCTGAAAATAAACATGGACAGAATACACTCATGGTGAGTGTACGTCGTTTTCCAAAGTTGTAGAATGGCACAAGGTCTATGAAAGTTTCAGCACACATCTACAGATGCGGTGAGGTAAATTATTCAAAGACAGACGTGGCATCAATAAAAGATGCAGGCTGGGGCTGGTCTTAGATAAAGTGATTGGTACAGAACCTACAGCAGCCGCGAGAAAAAGAGAGAATCCATTAAAATAAACAAAGAAAGAATGTGAAATATCAGAAAGACGGGTCCTGACACAGACTAGTCCTGGTCACATTTCGGCTGAGATTTCTTCTTCTGCTTTAAGCTAAATGACATTAAGACCTTAAAAGCATCAGGATAGTTCATATCAAAGCTTTCTGTCTGATCCAACTGCAAAACTCAAAGTTTCAGAAGATTTTTTCATCTTAAAGTCGGCGTGAATTCAAAATGTACAAATAAGAAGGACACATGTATATAGTAGCGTTTGTTATAAATGATGTATCTGTGCACTTTTAACACAATTATTTAGTAAAAATGTATTTGCTCGTAATCTTCATTAAAAAAACATAACCCCTCGAAACCACTTTTATTTACTTCATGGAATGCCTTTAGGGTGGGTCTATCAGGGCCTGTAGGGCAGTATAGTATCATTTATTTATTCAGTTTCTTGTCGGCTTAGTCCCTTTATTAATCCGGTGTCGCCACAGCGGAATGAACCACCAACTTCTCCAGCACGTTTTTATGCAGCGTATAGCCTTCCAGCCGCAACCTATCCCTGGGAAACATCTACACACACTCATTCACACTCATTCATTCACTCACACACTCAGCCTACCCAATTCACCTGTACCGCATGTCTTTGGACTGTGGGGGAAACCGGAGCACCCGGAGGAAACCCATGCGAACGCAGGAAGAATATGCAAACTTCACACAGAAACGCCAACCGAGCCGAGGCTCGACCCAGTGACCATCTTGCTGTGAGGCGACAGCATTACCTACTGCGCCACTGCGTCACTTAGTAATTGTCATTGAATAATATTATAAACAATAAATAATTGTTACTTTTGTGATGGCTGTCAAGTAGATGAATGATGGTTGCAGAGTTTATACACTTTTTTACTACTAAAACTCCATGACTTTTCCAAGACTTTTAAGAAAATTTTCATGACTTAATGTTTCATGCAATGTCTACATATGCATGGAAAAAACAATACTTGTTAACATTTATTACAGAAATAAATAATATTTATTATGTAAAATTGATTTCGATAATACTTACATTGCACAAATAATGTAAGAGTATGTGACTGACCAAGGACAGAAAAGCAGTGAAGACAACTAACCTATATTCATGTATACAGATATCTGTTTCCCATGACTTTTTCAAAACTTGGTGGGTTTTGATTTTCTAAAACTTTTCCAGGCCTGAAAAATGCCATGTCAAAATTCCAGGACTTTTCCAGGTTTTACATGACTGTATGAACCCTGTGGTTATAATTAATGGTCAATGACTACATTTAGGAAAGAATTAAAGGTTATAAAAGGTCATATTTTGGTTTTAGGGGTCTCCAACAGAAGGCTGATACGCGTAAAAGGAAACAATTTCATTGTCTTATAATATGCATTTATTTTTACCTAGTTATACCAATGACTCCCATATGATTCGTTCAGCGATTCATTTGTTCCCAAACCTCTCCTTTGTGTGAGACAAATCTGCTGTGATTGGTCCGATGACCCAGTCTGTTGTAATTGGTCGACTGGGTAGTACAAGTGAGTGTGTGAGAGCCCAATGCAGGAATGCAATAAAGCAATGCTGTTATTACTCTACTCTTAATGTAAACCCCAAGTAATAACAATGACACACTTTCTGTGTTAATCCACACAGTGGCAAAATTTGAACTATTTTGAAAATTAACCATGTGTAGGAACAGCTGATGGTGGCCATAGCAAAGACAAATGACAGAGGGTCGCGAGTTCAGTAACTCAATTAAATTGCTTAAGGAAGAAGCACATGTCTTCTTAACATGGTTTTGGATGCAATATGTAAATAGCCCCATAGAGATTTAACTTGAGAGATACAGTACTAGTACTGATCTATAATACATCTTATCGTTGAGAAAATGAACTTTAACCCTTTATTCCCTGCAGCCAAATCTCCACCAGTGATCGTCATCTACTCGTGACATGATCAGTCCTGTGAAGCCCTGCTCTCCGCTAGTGTCTAAAGGGAAAGGCGCGTTCATTTTTTACCGGATGCGGAAATACATATTTGGTGATGTATTGTATCGATGTCAATGCGTTCAAGCAAAAGATCCGAACCCAACACGATTCATTTATTTGACTCTTAGTTGACTATTTCGTTAAATAATCAATAGTTTTAAACACTGTGCACTTTCAGATTTAAACCTCAACTGGATGTTTTTATTCACTTAGTGCTGTTACACACTGCATGGAAGCGCATTTTGAAAAACCCATTATAAGAATGAAAGAACAATGTTGACATACAAGACTACATGTGTGCAGATGCATAGTGTTTCGTTAGGGTGGAGACACACCAAGTCGACACCAAACAACTAGCGTATTGTTGGCATCTGGACTCAAAAGCTGTGAACACTGCACGACACATGCGTTTTTTTTTTTTTCTAATACTGTTACTATAGTTCTGGTGCTCAAATAATAAATCTTCTTTAGTAAAACAACAGACTTATAGGCTTAGGGTGCTTTCACACCTGCCTTATTTAGTTCGATTGAATCGCACTAGAGTTTGTTTCCCCTTTTGGTACGGTTTGGGCAGGTGAGAATGCAAATCTTGAGAGGGTGAGAATCGTACTCGAATGCGCACCAAAAGCGGACCAAATAAGCGTACCGAGACCACCTCTTCAAGCAGGTCTCGGTACGCTTATTTGGTCCGCTTTTGGTGAGACCCTGAATCGGTTAGTTTGTGGTGAGAATATGATCCGTACTAAAAAAGATCCAACCGCAAAAAGTACTGCGTGTTTTGGACTAATTCAGCTGCCGTAGGCCGATGCGCTGTGCATTATGGGATATGGAGGAAAAAGAGAGAGAGGGGAAAACATTACCTGATGGATCGTTGGTAATATTTCCGCAAGATGACCATGTCGCAGTTTAGCTAAATTAATTCACGTCTCCTCCTGAAGTGACGAGCGATGCATTAAACACTGTTTTCCAGCCGCGGCCGCGCTTCATTTTCGTAATGTATAGTTTGTCTAAAGCAGGGATACAATCAGCCAGCGCAGTCGTCCCTTTATAGTAAAAAGTTTTGTTTACCTGCGGGAGTTTCAGTAGGCATTTTGCCGCTTGTGAATTCTGACCAATTAATAAGCAGTTTAGGAAATATGTTCAACAACATCTGGCCAATGAGTGATGTGGATTTTGTCAGATGACTGCATTTTGGTTCGTTTCAACTGGTTCGGACCAAAGCCAGGAGTGTGGTGTGAAAACGACCCAAAGACGGCAGAAGATGCAACAATGTATAATTTTTACCCTTGGTCCGGACCAAATGAAGCAAACTACAGATGTGAAAGCACCCTTACTGTATATGACAGATGACACAATTGAACTAAACACATGATTCTTGCAGTAACCTAGGCTACATTATTTGAGCATTCCTCATGACATTGATAATCTGTTGTGGTCTAGCTTATGTTTCCTTTTTTAATATTAAGATTGTTCTTTGAAATCTGTAATAGGCTACCACTATTGACAATAATCGTTGGTAAAATAACCAGCTTTTAGCAAAGCCTGATATTTTCCTGCAGGTTTGACGCAGACTAACCTAAACTGTCTGAGGCCAGTTTTACTTATTAAACACTCCCTTGCCAAATCTTGCCGTGAGTGAGATGGAGAACATTTTGAATGGAGCTCTTTTGACAACATCACGATTTTTAAAAGTTGTGTGTTCATAAAACAATGTAAACAATGATTTCACGTCAGCATACATGAGAATGATGAAACTAGCCTATTTAAGAATTAGATTCACAGTGAACCACAGTGTTCACACAAAAGTACCATGAAGCTTTTTTGATTGTCATGTGCAACTGGACATACTCGAAATTAAGAGAAATATTCAAGGGAAAATTCACCAACAAATGTGACCACATTCTAAAACTTTACAATCAGATCTGGTTAATAAATAATAAATACATAACTAACAGTTAATGGTCTGAATTATGTATTTTAAATGTTCCTCATTTTGTTTTGGAGGTCTACATTCATCCAAAGTTAAAAACAGCAACAATTTTAACTGACTAATCTGACTTTCTGGTTTAAAATAAAACTTGTGTGATTTTGTTTTCAAGCTATTTTTAAAAATGTTTGCTGTGTCAGAAAAAAAAATCGTCAAAACGTCTGCGTTCACAAGAAAACGTTAGTCATGTTTAGGTTGTCAGCAAGTGCTTTACCTAATTTACATTCATTTTAAATAATTCAGTAAATTTTTTTTCCATTATAAAAACAATAACATGCAATAAAGTTTATTTTTGTTTGAATGTGCTGTCAATTGGCAACGTCAACAAGACAAAATGTCAGCAAAAACCAGCAAATTAGACTTACCAAAAAAATCAGCTAAACTGAAATATTCATAAATAATTTTGTTTGTAGGTCAGGACTCTCAGACAAAGACACCCTCATAAAAGAGGCTCACTAAAGTAAAGAGCGGCCCACACAAATGCAAATTCATTTACACACACTGCAACCGTGCTCGCTCTGAAAGTGGTCTGAAGGCAAAGAAAGATCAATGTTCTCTAACACTTTATGAGATTATGAAGTCCACGGCCCATATTCATTGACCACAAGCTCATGGGAACTGAAATTACTCAAAGCCTCTTTCAGAAATGTTTCAGAGTAAATACAGACAAGATCTAGCCTATGCTGA